CCCCCCCCCCCACCCCTGCCGCCCGCGGGCCGCCGGGCCCCGGTCTCCGCCCGGGCTCGGTCAGTCGGTACCTTCATGAAGGTCTCTACCGCGCCTTTGGCCGTGTCCAGGTAGGTGGTGCCCAGATGGCTGCGCTGGTTCATAGAGGCAGACGTGTCTATCAGGAACAGTAAGATGGGCATAGTGCTGGCCGGGGACACCGGGGCCCGAGGTGGTGGAGAAAGAGATGGTAGAGGTGGAGGCGCCGGTGGCGGCGGCGACCGCCGCTACGCGGGGCGGGGGAGCGCGGCCCCCGGGAGGAAAACACCGTCTGGGTCTTTCCTTCGGCTGCGGGGAGTTTCTCCCCCGATAGTTGAGAGGAAACTCCCCAGACCCAGTCCTCCCCGTCGTACCCCCGCCTCCGCCTCCTCCTGCCTGCCTGCCCGCTGGGGCGGGCGCCCGGCCGTCTGTCGGTCGGTCGGTCGGTCCGTCCCCCCCTCCTCGGGGGTCCCGTCCCCACTCCCGGCCCCTGTGTGTGTCCCAGCGGGAGACGGGCCTGGCTCCCCACCCCACCCCCGGTGCAGGGAGTGGGGACCTGGGAGCTGGCGAAGAGGGGAGTGGGCTGAGGGGAGATTGGCCCTGGGGCTGTTGGGAGAAGTTTCAGGGACTCCCTCCGCACCCCGGCGGTGTCACCACTTTCTCAGCCCCTCTCGCTACTGAAGCGCTTTTCTCTCTCACACTCCGGTTTTAACTCGGGCAGGGTCTGCAGAGGCTCCGCCCCCTGACACGTCCTCGAGCCACGTGATGCACCGCCCCGCTGTTCTATTGGCTAAGCCCAAGCTTCTTATTAGCATATTCAAACAGCTCAGGGGCGGGGGAAGCTTGTAGGCCGGCTCCGGGAACAGTTATTGAGCACGCGCGGAGGCGGGGAGTCGGGTGCGCGCGCGAGCGAGCGCCAGGGACGAGCAGGCGGGCCAGCAGACGCGGAGGCGGGCTCCGGGAAGGGGCGGGGACGCACCGCGGAAAGACCGCGGGGTGGGGGCGGGGGACGCGGCGGCGCGCGCAGAGCGGCCGCGGCTGTGAGTCTGCGCGTCAGTGCCGCTGGCCTCTCCTTGCCTTTTGGAGGTGATAGGGGTCGGGGGGAAGGGAAATGGAGCCTGGCCTGAGATCCCCTTGTGAGGTCGCTTTATCGAACCCCTTACCCGTTGGGCGAGTGAGGAGGGTATAAGTAAAGTAATAAGATACCCGATCAGAAGGGGTCAGGCCCCGCGCTCTTACTTCCGCGGAGAGCTCCGGCCCTGCGGTCGCCGGAGGAGGTTCCTTGGGCCTGGGAGGGCCTGCCCCACGGCGGGCGGGCCCGGGGCTGGGGGGAGGGGAAGTGAGAGGTTGTTTGTGACCGGGGACTAATCTCCGCCAGTCCCACCGCTCCGGGTGAGGAGTGGGGACGAGGGTTCAGCTTCGCCCGCAGTTTCCCTCGGCCTTGGGGAGCGACCTAGGGTGAGGGCTGGACCCGGAGCAGACCAGGAGTTCTCCAGGTGGAGGACCCAACAAAAAGAGAACTAACCCTCTATTTTCCTAACTTAGCCCTAAAAGGGCATGAGGGAAGACTCAAATATCGATAAACAGTTTGTTGCCCTTTTTATTCTCAGGGAAAAATAACCGATCCTATCCAAAGAAATACCTCTCTCAAGCCATGTTTTTTCTTAGGGCCGAAGAATGTCAATTTCAGAGCTAAAAGTGACCTTAGAAAACTGAGAACACTTAACTCGTTTTTATATGGAAAAACTGATTTCAGCTAGCTCAGGTGACACACACAGTGGGTTCCCCATAAACCCTGCCAGTGCTCTTTCCTTTAAGTATATGCTGTCTCTAAGACTGGTTCCAAATACAGTATGAGGGAGGACGTTCTTGGTTAAAAGAACCCCTGTCACCATGCCCGAAGTAATGAATCCTCTCCTAAATGTCCGAGGAAAACTGTTCACTCAAATATACTAGTTGAAAAACTGAAGACAGTACCTGAATTACAAATTGTGTTCAAGACATAGAACCCTTATAAAGACTATGGAGATCTCTATAGGGCCTCTCCTGCTAGCATTGCATTTTGATTTTTTTTTTATACTGAAATTCTTAATTATTTGCTGCCTGATGATTTAATGAAATTGTTCCTACTAAGCTTAACACAAAAGAGACATGTTTTATGGCACTTTTTAAAAAATCTTGAGTTTAGATTGCATAACTTGGACTTTTCCTAATACTTAGGACAACCTCTGAACTTCTTGTTAATTTATAGTGGGGCTATTTCAGTAATAAACTGTTCTGTGAGTATGTACCATAGAAGAGTGACATATTTTTAGGAGATTTGGACTACAAAATAAGATGGAATACAGGTCTTATATCCAATGTTGCTGAGGACTGGTGGAGTTAAAAAACGATTAAAATGTGTGCCCTGCCTTCAAAGAGCTTATGGTTTTTCTAGAAGAATATTATGTATATATTATCAGCTACTACAAGGCAGAGAGTGATTAGATACTAAATAATTCAGAAAAGAGAAAAATGTATTACCCTTGGGTGATGAACATTCTCCAGGGACAGTATAGTCATGTTCCTTAAAGCCATGTTTCTCAAACTGAGATCCTAGATCTGGAGATTAGATCAGAGTTCTTTGATACTTGAAAATTTGTGTTATCATCTTAATGACAATATACAAATTGTTTTACCAGTTATAAAGACAAAATTTTTCTTCCAAAGTTATAATTTGCAACTGAAAGATTTTCATGGAATTGGTCTTCAGTTTTCTGTATCCGTGCTTTTCAAACTGGTCCACAGACCCCTGCCTATCCAAACATGTATTCTCTAGAATGACAAGAATTTCCTTAGCATTACTCAGGTTTGAGAAACACTGCTTCAAAGGATTGGTAGGATTTGGATATGTGAGTAAAGGAAGAGGAAGCTGCTGGTGAAAAAGTCCTTTTAAGACATTGAAAATACAGTGAAGAAAGGAGATTAGCACAGCATTGCCAATGGCTTCCTGGGGAACAGTGAAGTTCAGCTAGGCTGGAGCACTAGTAATGTGAAGAATAGAGTAAGATCCAGAAAGGTAGGTCAGATCTAGACAGGAGAGGGCCTTTATTCCAGACTACGGATTTTTTTCCCATATAATTACTAAGTACAAAGCAGTGTTTGAAGGGAATCAAACTCGACTACTGAAGTAGAGGACCATGCATTAATAATGACCTTCCCTGTTACAGTTATTTGAAATTTCCAATAGAGACATCATGGCTCTTCCCTGACTCAGTGGAGTTGGCAGACTGTCATAAGTGGAGGTGCATGGTAGAGACAGGGTTAGATGCAAAAATCAGGGGGGCCAAGTCCAGTGAGCCCACCTGGAGCATATAACCAGAACCTGTGCTTATTATGGCACCTGAGATTGAAGGCCAGGTTTCCAGTTCAGAAGCCCAGAAGTGCTCCAAGGCATGGCCCTGAGGCAGAACAGGAAAGAAATCAGGACATAAAAAGGCAGCAAATCAAGAGGCAATCAGAAACCAGGAAGCATTGACGAGTGGTCCCTAGACAAAATTGTGAAATAGGCCAAGTTTATTCTTAGTGACTCTGGTTGACAATGAAGCTCTTGGTTGATGATGGCTTAAAGCAGTAGTTCTGGACTAGGAGATGCACATAAGCATTGCCCGCAGAGTTGAAAAATAATAATAAGTGTACCAAATCCTCATACCCAGAGGAAAGGGATTCAGTAGAATTGGGATGGGCCTTGGTCATCTCATTTTTTAAAAAGCTCTTCAGGTGAATCTTATAAATAAGAGTGATTAAGAACTATATGCTTCAAGCATAAAAATATATGTCTACATCTAGTAGTGGTAACTTTAAAAATTCACATACCCTTAGAGATATTACATTTCTTTTTTTTTTTTTTAAAGATTTTATTTATTTATTTGAGAGAGAGAATGAGAGAGAGCACATGAGAGGGGGGAGGGTCAGAGGGAGAAGCAGACTCCCCGCCGAGCAGGGAGCCCGATGCGGGACTCGATCCCGGGACTCCAGGATCATGACCTGAGCCGAAGGCAGTCGCTTAACCAACTGAGCCACCCAGGCGCCCGAGATATTACATTTCTTAAAAGAACTTCTAAAATAAATCTGCAAACTAAAGCGGAAAAAAACTATAAATGTGACACCGTATAGGTAACTGGATTTGTATCATATGCTTATTTAAATTGCTTGAATTCATCCATTTTTGACGAAAATTAAAAAGAGAAAACTAAATAGTGTCAGAGATTTCCACTGTTCCCTTCAGTGAGTTTAGGCCTCAAAATAAGCATGAAATGGGAAATATGAATCTCTTCTTCACTCAATCTCTGTGATTCTAGAAAGATTCTGGTTATAGGCAGGCTTATTTTTCTGAAACATGGCCTCTAAATGCAAGCCAACTATTTCATCAGACTCAACTGAAAAAACAGTGAGCTCTTGCAATGCTAGAGGGAAAATGAGTTGAAGTAGTGTGTGCTAAACCCTGTGCTGTTGCAGTCTAGGGGATTAGGGAAGATTTCCCTGGGAGGACATTGGTCAGAAGAGGTATGTGGGAGAAAATTTGCTCTTTGTTGCTGTTTTTAAAGGAGCTCTGCCTAAATGCTATGGCTCCCATCTAAAAGGGAATGCGTAAATTATATGAAAGCCTCTGAAGGAGTGGTGACTCTGGCTTAAACAATAGCCTAAATTGTGGAAATGGGACTATTTTAACAATTAAGAGCTGATGAATTAGATTCATTTGTAGGAGCCAACCAGAGCCCTTTAAATTATTTTAAACCAATTAAGCAGGATAACACGGTTTAAAAATAATTATGGGCCAAGGACTTGGCTTATGGTAACTAGATGTGCCATCTGAACAGAGTAATCAGATGAACCCAATGTTCCTCATATGTAACCTAACAAAAGTTTTTTTGGCTGTCTTACTATTTCCTCAGCTCTCTGCTTTACTCTGAGATCACAGTAGCCAATGATGTTGACAGGTTGAGAACATTAAAAAAAAGACTAAGCATAAAAATTTAGATATGAAATTATGCAGCAGAATGTATTTGGATATAACATATATAAAGAGATTGAATTTTGGTCATCCTATTATATGATACCAGTCCTCAGGAAAAAAATGCTACCAAGGGAGTACTATTAAAAGGATATTAGACCTCTCTCCAACAAGCATTATTTCACAGTAATAGTTGAAGTCTCAGATAATTCAAGATCAGTCTTGAAAATGGACACATACAGATTGA